GATAGATAGATAGATAGATAGATAGATAGATAGATAGATAGATAGATAGATAGATAGATAGATAGATAGATAGATAGATAGATAGATAGATAGATAGATAGAGGCAGGACAGTCCTTTTACTTCCATTAAGATCTATTCTCTTCCAAAGTGGAGCAAAGGGGTTTCTCATGGTTCAGTTTGATCCTTTAGATGTGCTCCTACAATGAAAGATGTTCAGTCCTGTCGATTTCACTTTTGCCAAAGTTACAGGATGCACGGTGCGTTGTGTTTAAAAGCCACCCCCTGCATTACTCATGGCTTCCCATCATCAGGATTGTCATCACTCTTATTGTTGCTGTTGTGTTATTGACCTCATAATGATCCATGGAATTACGTATTATTAATGTGTTGCATTGATCCTATCGGAAGGGTAGGGAAAAATATAGGGAAAATTTCTGTCTGTGAATCCATTTCAAACATTTGATCATCCTGATGTGCAACCTGTATTCTGGAAAAAATGCTGCCAGAATGGTTTCCCAGTGGAAAAGACACCAGACAAGGGTGGATTTTGTCTGCCATTCATTCAGTCTACATGCAGAACACTGCCTATGGAAAGCTGGACTAGATTTAGATCAGTCCTTCCCACCTTGGGTCTCCAGATGTTCTTAGACTACAACTCCCAGAAATCCTGGCTTAGCACAGTGTGTGGTGAAAGCTTCTGGGAGTTTTAGTCCAAGAACATCTGGGGACCCAAGGTTGGGAACCATTGATTTAGATGAAGGAGGCATGAACGTTGGTGGAAGAAACACCAGTAATTTAAGATACAGAGATGAGACCATATTAGCAGCAGAAAACAGCAGTGACATCAAACAGTTATTGGGGAAGTTAAAAGAAAAAAGTGCAAAAGCAGACTTGCAGTTGAGCATTAAGAAAACCAAAACCCTGAATACAGAAGAATTGTATACCAGTAAGGCTGGCAATTAAGAAATCAAAGTAGTTCGTTCAGTCATCAGTCCAAGCCAGAAAACAAGAAAATAAAATGTGATTTGCATTGGTTCGATAAAATAAACCACCATATGTAGTTCATAAGACCTGAACGTTAGGCTTTTATTATCCCTCTGGAAGTCACTTCGTCATAATAATAATCATGTGCTGTCAAGTCAGTTCTGATTTAAGGTGAACCTTTTCAGGGTACTCAGAAGTGGCTGATCCTTCCCTTCTTCTGGAGGCGCTCTGGGACTGTGCAGCTTGCCCAAGGCCACCCAGGCTGCCTCTTCTCCCTGAAGGCCCAGGGAAGACTCAAATTCACAATCTCTGACTCCACAGCCAGATGCCTAAACCACCGAGCTCTCCAGCCAGCTTCTACCTGTTCATAGGATTCTAGGGTTGTCTGAAATTGGAAGCAACTTGAGACACATAGCAACTCTCTGGTTCCATCTAGTGGGTGGTTTTGTTACTGTACCTTGTACATTTGATGGCACCCTTCAGTCTCGAAAGACTATGGTATCGTGCTCTGTATCGAGGACTTGGAACAGTGTCTAGTGTGGCTGAGAAGGGCAATTCGAGAGTGACAATCCCTTCCACACTGAAGACAAATCCAATCTGTACATATAAAAATACAAAAGAGAAAAGCAATTAATGCTTTCCTTACCTCTTAGGTCTGAGAATAGCATGAAACTAAAACTAAAATAAAATAAAATAAAAATAAACCCCTACCCAAATGGCTCTAAACATATCTTGAAACATCAATAAAGACAAATTCTTGAAAGTAACAAGAAAACATTGTTGGCCTCATTAAAAAGTTATGCTGACGTTACTGTAATTGTGCTGTAACTTTACAAGTATTCATTGAACTATTAACAAAGTAATTAGTTACTTTAAACTAGTTCCTCCCAAGCTTAGAGGTTGCCTATTCTCTTGCATCTATGTGTAGAGACAACAAAAGCAGGGGTGACCGTGGAACAAACAGGTTTCTCTACGCACCACAGACACCTCACAATGAGTCAGAGAAAACCTTTCACTGGAGAAATGAGTCTCAGAAAGGAATTGAAACACCCGGTCAATTTCACCACTTCGTTGCTCTTGCTGCAGAAGTGGAGAGAAAGCATGGGTGTTCGGCCCACTGTTCCTTGCGGCCACCTTGTGCAGATTTCTGATTTTGTGGTTTCAGAGGACTCCGAGGAGAATCCAGTCTTTACAGGAATTTTTTAAAAATCAGAAATTTCAGAACTGGAAGAATTGAAGAGCTTAAAAATCAAAGTAGAGATGGACTAAAGAAAGACCAAATAGAGGAACGGAGTCTTTAAGATATCATTGCTGGTTAGATCAGTGGTTTAGGTCTTTGGCTGATGAGCCAGAAGTTGGGAGTTCGATTCCCCCACTGGGCCTCCTTGACCAAGGCTGGACTTCATGGCCCATTGGGTCCCTTCCCTCTCTTCAGTTCTAAGAGGATGATTCTCCTCCTCCTCCTTCTCTTGAGCCCCTTGTATGATCAACACATTTATGATCAGATTGGCCTCTTTTTTTCTTCGAGAGTATTTCTCATTTCTTAACACCGCCATGGGCTGGTGTCTGTATCCTGTTCCATTCGACTCTGAGAATGGTTGAACCTCTTGATTTTGGCAGGATGGAACTTTTGTTCCAGTTTGGGAACATAAAATAACCCCCCCCCCCAATGATATGCAGGGCAAAGCAAAACTGGGTGTCACAGGCATCCTTCAGTCTCGAGAGACTATGGTAGCATGCTCTGTATGAAGGACTTCGATGCTGTATGTGAAGCTGGAGTGTCCTCTCCAGAGCACGAAGCCTGGGTAAAATAATATGGAGGATAGGCTGTTACCCAACCAGCAAATCCCCCCTCTCCACATCACTGAAATAGTCCAATGGAAAGGCAAGAGCCAATCCAACTGGTTCCAGCGATGTCTCAGGAGTTGACAGAACAACACAAACTGCCTCCGGGACTCCGGCTCTGGATTTTGCCTCAAGGTTAACTCCTGAAGCCTTTTCCATCAGTGGATATAGCCACAAGGGAGGTTTGAATTCAGAATTTTCCTTCTCCTAGATGGGCTGCCTTCTAGTTAACGCGTCCCACCTACCCGGGCTGCTCCATCGTCAAGATGTGTCAAAATACTCTTATCCATAGGGGATGAGAAAAATGGGTGTGTGTATCAGAACAGGAGGAGGTCTTTTGTGAAGCCAATGAGCCTTAATGACCCTTTCAAGCCCAAGACCTCTTTTGAGATGAATGCTATTAACCTATGTTACAACTACTGCAGTTGTCAACAACTGGTGCCGTTGCTACAGGAATCTTTCTCATCCCATCCCATAGTGTGAGCCCTGCAGCTAAGCTTAGAGAGAACACAGACAGAGGAGGTGGTTAAGCCATCTTCCTTGGTAATTTTAAAAGTCACCGTGCTTTGGACCGGTCAGTCCAGCTTCTGCTCCACCACCCCTCCAGATCTGGAAAGTCACATACTCATGATGTCATGAGCGTTTCTCTTTCTCCCTCCTTCTCTGGGTCTGTGACCACTCCTGCCCCTATCCAGCTGGGAGG